TGTTGGGAACATGAAGGTCAGAGACAGTCTTACCTGAAGAAGTCATGAAATGACAGAATTCAGGATCCTAAGGACAGGGAGGAAGATGAAAAGCAAGTTCACAACCCTGAACATCATGCACCTGAACAAGTAGACTTTGATCTTTTCAAGGATCTTCTTGGAAAAGATCCATGGAATAAGACTCATTGTGAGGCCACTAGTGATAATCTTTGATCACGGTGACTGGAAGAACAGCTTGAAGACTATAGGAAAGCAAATATCACTCCTATCTTCACGAAAGGCAAGAAGTAGCATCAAAGGAACTACAGGCTGGTCAGCCTCACCTTGATCCCTGGAAAGGTAACAGAACAACTAATCCTGGGAACCATTTCCAGAAACATGAAAGAAAGTGAACAGGAGGTACTCACTGTGGACGCACCATGGGGGAGTCATTCTTGACCACCTTGATGAACTTCTACCATGAAATGATTGACCTGGCAGATGTGGAAAGAACTGTGAATATTGTCTACCTGGACTTCAGCAAGACCTTTGAGACTGTCTCACATAACAGTGGGAGGAGACAAAGCCAGGGCAGTTTACTCAAATGAACCATAGTGCTATTCTATACCATGTGACACAGTACACAGTAATAAAAGCTGTGGGAAGGAGGAGGAAGAGTGAACATCTGGATGGACATCCACAGTTGCAGAGTCTGTCTTAACAAGTAACCATTAGGTGTGATGGAACCCTGCTTTCTTGGAAAAGGTTGAACATCTGACTGGGAATGGGAAGCAGTAAACGAATTCCTTGTCTTGTTTTGCTTGTGCACACAGCTTTTGCTTTACCTATTAAACTGTCTTAATACACAAGTTCTCACACTTAAACTTTCTAATTTTCTTCTGTGTTCCACTGTGGGAGAAGTGAGCAAGTAGCTGTGTGGTATTTGGCTGTTTACTGAATTTAACTCACATCAGTATTAGGAAAAATAGAGCTTGCCATGGGTACTATGATTAGTATGCCTTGTCTGTAGTGCATCTATGAGGAATATTTTGTTTTTATGCTAGTTGAAACTCAGTTCAAATCACTGCCATTAGTAAGGATGGGGATGAAAGTACCAGTGAGAAGTGTCTGAGTTTCACTTAGCATTTTGGGAGAGCTATCTCAGTTCTTCTGAAGTGGTGGTGGTGATTACATGTCTCTGGAGAATTGGGAAAAAAGAGCATTAAGATATTCAGTAGAAAGGAAACAAAGAGGGGAAGAAGAGGAAGGCTTCGTGATAACCTTTACCTTCATTCTCAAAAACTGCCTCGTAAGTATAGTGGCATACAAGATCAGTGACTACTTTTCTCAGATACATAGATTAATTGAGAAACTGATGCAACTAGGGAAGTACAGAAAGGAAGGCTGAAAGTCGTAAATGTACTGACTAGATAACCAATCAAATAAAAGTACTGTGAAACAAAGACTAGAGCTATTTTATGTTTCTTGTCAGTAGTTGAAATAAAATAATAACAAAGCTTTTGTGATTGCATACAAAATACAGCTCGGAGAGATTAAACTGCTGCTGAAGATGTACCAGTGGAACAAAATTATAAGTTCATTAAGGAGGCAGTGCCACGATGGTACTTTAGTCTCTATCATCACTTTCACAAGAAACTCAAAGATAAAATCTTGGCTGAAAGATATTTTGGAATTGAAATACTTGACAGAATGGAATATTACATCTCATATTGAACTCATAATTAAAATCTATATTAACTGATTAATAGAACTGGATGGCACAAGTCAAAGGAAACTGTCCACATAGCGGAGCAAAAACCCCAAACCCTTCTGGAAACCAAGTAAATGAAAAATACAACTGTTAGGTAATGTGATAAAACCTTGTCTGTGTGCACAAAGTTATACAGACAACAGATGGTGGGAGCCTGAGTAACACCCTGCCTGGCTAATCCAGGCCCATCACAGAGGCCATCAGCCTATCAAAGTTCCACTTCCACAAGCTAGGGAAGCACACAGACAGGAAGGTGGAAACCCAAAATAAGGACTCAGAGGAAGGGACACTCTATCTGATCCACTCCCAGTGTTGTCCTGGGAGAGCTCCAGCCCCAGTATCTAGATGTAATGAATGTGATGAACCCACTGGGACAGGTTCCTCGTGATGATACAATACCAGACTACCTTTGGGACTTAGAAGCTCCACTGTCTAGGGGTGTAAAATGTATTATCATAAAATCATAGAATTGTTTGAGTTGGAAGGGACTTTTAAAGGTCAACTAGTCCAACCTCCCTGCAATGAACAGAGACATCTGCAGCTAGATCAGGTTGCTCAGAGCCCCATCCAGCCTGACCTTGGATGTCTCCAGAGATGGGGCATCTACCATCTCACTAGGCAAGCTGTTTCAGTACCTCACCACCTTTATTATAAAAAACTTCCTTCTTATATCCAATCTATATATCCACTTTTTAGTTTGAAAACGTTTTCCTTTGTCCTATCACAACAGATCCTGCTAAAGAGTCTGTTCCCTTCCTTCTTATTGCCCTTCTTCAGATCCTGAAAGAAAGGGATGCAGCTCTAAATTGCACAGGACTTACTATGGAAATTTTAAAAAGGAGCCACGGGCAGAGAAAGAGAGGTATTTAAGTGATTTTGGGAGAAGGTAGATGGGCAAGGACATAAAGAGAGGTTGGCTGCATCTAAATAGGCCACTGGTCAGCACATCTATCTGGTCATATTCTGAGGAAACTTACTGAATTCCTTTGTAACTTTTTTCCTGGATGAGAGACTTCTTGTGTGTGTATTTGCAGGTGCCAGCAACTGAGGAGACTGGGCCCCAGGAGAAGCTATTGGGCAGGCTGCGTGATAAGCTCAGCTGCTGGAGCACCTACATTCTATGTATGCATACATAAGTATAATCTCTAATGAAAATCTATTTTGCTCAGCCAGAGAAGAAGCTTAGATGAGGCTGCTGATGCCATCTGTGTTTGTGCGAGTGCTTTGCGTGTTCTCACATAATTCAAATGGCTGGCCACATACATGCATATGTACATGTCTATTCATATATGCAGTGTTTATGTGTGCTCTGTGTGCATATGCCTAGTGGGTATATATCTTCACCCCCACTACTATTTGGATCTGGGGCTGCAGAACTGTGATGGCTACATGTCTCTTGGGCCATGAGAATACAGCTTGATATATTTTCCATGAACAACAACGAAAGTAGAGGATATCTTACAATGTTAGTGCTGAGGTTTTAGTTAAAAATTTAGCTAAACCTGTAAGCATAAGGCTACTGATGCTTTATTTGGTGAAAGTAGGTTAAAAGTCTATATTTTATTAACTTTGATTGGCTTGGGACACAAGATGTAGTTAGTTCATTGCAGCTTTAAGAATTTCTCAGAAGTGGCACCACTGATTCTGTGGCATAGACCTAATTTCACGCAAAGCAGATAAAATGGAGTTGAATCTACTTAATTTAATTTAATTAATTTAAAAGTTAGAAACGCTTGCTTAGATCAAGCATCTTTTATGGTGGGAGGCGTAACCCTGTCTTTCCAATGTCCATCATGGAAGCTCAAAAAAAAAAATTTTTAAAGACCTAAGTTTGAAATGAATGCCCAATTAGAAACCAAATACTGAATGAAACAGATCTGACAGTATACTTGCACTTTAAAGGCTAAGACATGACTCATATTCCAGGTCATCTCTGTGGCTGCTGTTGTCATTATTGCTGCTGGGCACTGAGCTAAGTTAATTGCTGCTAAGCAATCTCTACTAGGCTGCAGTTAAAGTAACAACACAAAATTCCTGTAAAGATAACGCATATCTGCTCCATAAATCAATTAAAAAGAAAAAAGCAAGAAAAAAAAGAAGAAATGTCTCTTTTACCCCAGGCAAATACTCTGGGATATACTGCATTACAGAATTTAGATTGCATATAAAGTCTGTCATACAGTATTGTGGGCAACCATCATGGTATCCTTTCCCAAAGACCAAATTCACTTTAATATTATTTTCTAATCTCAGTGCACTTTTCAGAAGGCTATCATGATTTCATAATCTTCAGCCTGCTCATATTCTCTTCCCCCAAGTAATTTACATCAATTTATTCTCAAGTCAAAATTGTTCTGGCATGTAGTTCTCTGACCTATAGTTATTCTCCTCCTTCCACTTCTATTTTTCATGGAATTATGGTCACTTATAAAGACATGACCACCTTCCTGATCACTGTTTCCTATTCTCAGTATGACGGCAACTGAATGATTTTTTTAATCTTAAAAATGACTTCACATTACAACATAATGTGGTGTAACTAAAGTTGTGTAAGCATATTGAAAAAAAATTGTCCACGGGAAACCATTGAGAAGATTTGCTGCACTTAATAACATATTCAAATATATCTTATTTACCTTCAAAGTTAGTAAAAATACAGGAAAAAAACAAAAACACTTCCTCCATCGTTTGTGGAGGGGAAATTGAATTACTTTATATTGATATTTTGAAACTATATACCTATACTATGTGAAAGTTACTCTCTTGTCTCATCAAATTAAAATTGAAGTACTTTTTGTTTGGGTCACTTTCATACCTTCCAATTTTTCCCTACCCTTTTCCCATACTCCTACATTTTGCCTTTGATTTTGTTGAACAGAGATAGATTTGGGACTCCACTGATGTTTTATTTCATGTACAGGCTTTCAAATATAAATGGTAAAGACTAAGGGCAAAGCTCACACAAAACGTAGATACCTGCACCCACATTGTGCCCAAAGAGGTAAATTGGAAGGGTCAAAGGTGAGGGGCGGTGATGAAAACACCTGGGAAAATGCTTTCATGTTCTATTACAGAGTCTGCCTGCCACCATGAAGCAATCAACTGAATAACTTACATCTGATTATATAATTCCTCACATTGCAGAAAAAGGGGGTAAAGGAGGGGCAGGGTGTGTTAGCATATAAAAAGGATTAAAAGTGCATTGATTTTGAATCTACTGTTGTTTGAAAAGAAAAATATCTGATCCTACCTCTTCGCAGGCGGTCCTGAAATCCATGTGCTATGACACAGCAAGTGATATTTGTCTAAAATAGAGAGAAAGAGTTCATTAGAATGAAAAAGATATTGCAAAACATAACTTATCTGTCTAAGCTGAACAACTGAACTAGCCTTTGTCAGGTCCAGATATAGTCATTCCTTAAAAAGAGAAATGATCAACGTTGCAAAAGGATTAGGAAGCGTAAGATGTTGTAAGTAATTTCTGCTCCTTATAAAGTACACAACTTGGTTTCACAGGGTATGATCAGAGATATTTTTCTGTTCCCACTATCTTGTCCCTCCCATGGGGCATTCAAATTTATTTTTCATATTGCAAAAACGAGTTTATTTTTCATTTCTTTTCAAAAGTAAGGGTGTACTGGAAAGTAACACTTCAGAAGGACACAGTTAAGAGTTGCTTTTCAGAATGTTCTTGCTCTCATGAAAGATTTTTTGTTTTTCTTTTCTCTCATAGCAAAAGAAACATCAGGAATCAATACCTTTGTCTCCCATTTTATTAACATACGTAACCTCTCCGTGGAATCCAGTTATCATTTAACAGTGTATCGGCTGCAGAAATATTTATGAGTTGAAAAAAAACAAATGTTAGAAAAGTTGGGGATATGAGTGAGGGCTGGCAAAATGTCATACCAAATCCTATTATTATTACTTTGCAAGAACTTTACCTGAAATATACTCATCCCAATGCACGCTTATTCATTCATTTATTTATGAGATAAAGCTACAACAGCTGGCTTTTATCAGAGGACCAGAACAGTGTCCTGCTCCTCATTCTACAATACAAATTCTCATCCTTCTGCATAAAACATTTCCAGGCAACACCTCCTGAGCAAAACAGACACTTCATTCAATGCCCTGAGATGCAAAACCTGTAACAAAATCCTACCCATCAAGTAGTCTGCTATTATTCTGAATGAATCACGTGCTTATGATTTTTTGTATAAATTTTCTACTCAAAAGCTTCAACCTAAGAACACAAGCTAAAATGAAATTTAAAAAAAAAACAAAACACATAATACAAAAATGCAAATCTTAATTAAAAATATCTTAATCTCTTAAGCATCTTAATTTGTTTTACTGTCTTGTACTTAGTTTTATTAAATCCAAGCGCACACACATGGCAATATTCTGTATTTACTGAGATTTGTCTGTTTTGCAGCCTGTGCACCAAGCCTATTTCTAACAGAGCTAGCCTATTTTGGCTAGGTTACAGCACATCATTGCTTCCTTGTCAGCCTTACAAGTGCACCAAGAATGAACAAACATCTATATTTTTAATTCTGCTCTCAAAATGCTCATGAAAGACAAGGTCACTATTACAATTTCAAAGGCTTTTCATTCTTGAGGGACAGTTATTATGAAATGAGTTTGTATTTTGTATTTTTTTTATAAACTCTCCCTCTCACAGCTGAGTAAGCTGAAATGGGAAGGAGGCTTTACTTCAAATATTTTGTGAACTTCTTAGCTTTCTAGAACCAGAAACTTTTGTATCTTTAAAATAAAAATTGGAGTGCTGCACAGTGTTATCCTTTTTTAGACCCTGACTATATCAAGTCAGTAACTTCTGCTACAGAAAAAAAGTGTCTCCAGTTACACTCTATTAATTCCTAAACGTCCTGCAATACTCAGGTAACACTGGTTCCACAATAACTGATGACTGCTCTGCAGTTACTTTTTAGTTACACTTGAATGCAAATCCTGTTAAACCCAGGCATTTTCCACAACTAAGTGATATTCTATCTTCATCTCTTTTGTTGTTTTCATGTATTATTGATGTATTTATGTATTCATTTAATAAATATTACTATATTACCATATAGAACCAAAGTCAGGAACTAAGATGATTCTACGTACAGCTGGTGACCCTAAATAAATTTTAATTTGCTCAGATAATTAGTGAATATAGTATGAATTTTCATATGAATATCAGCTTTACTGAAGAAAAAAAAAAAAAAAAAAAAAAGAAACAAAAAATCTTTTAAACATCTCAATCACTACAGTTATTCCAGCTAATCTAATATGCTGAATAATGTTATTTATGAAAATAAATTCTCTATCCTATGGCTTGAGAGATGTCATGGCAAACAAGCACTGACTTTCAGTGCTCTGTTTTGTCATTTTTGAGGACAGATCACAAATTATAAATACTGCCTCTCTCTATCTGCTAATATTTGGCAAGTCTACCTGCTGACAATTCTTTTCCCTTACGTGATATATTACACATACAAAAATTGATAATACAACAAATACCCTTCTGACATCCATTTCATACTGAAATAATTACTTCAGTTCTCAAGGAAGGTTACACACAATGCTTCACTGAATTACAGAAAGCTATGGGCTGCAAGGAATCTTAAATATCATCTAATTCCAATCCCCTATGACAGACAGGCACACCTTCCACTTGACTAGGTTACCCAAAGCCTCGTTCAGCCAGGTCTTGAATACTTACAGGCATGAAATATCCACAGTTTTTCAGAGCAACCTGGTCCAGTGCCTCACTATCTTCATAGTGAAAAATTCCTTTCTAATAGCTAATTTAAATCTACACTGTCTACACTCATCTAGTTTAAAATCATTATCCTTTGTTCTGTCACTATACTCTATGATAAAGAGTCCCTCCCCGGGTTTTCTAGATTCCTCCTTGAGGCTCCAGAATGCTGCTGTAAGGTCTCCCTGAAGTCTTTTCTTTGCTAGACTGAATAACCTCACTTAGCAGTCTTTTTTCACAGAAGAGGTGTTCTAGCCCTCTGATCATCTTCATGGCCCTCCTATGGACCCTCTTCAACAGGCCCATAGTCTTCTCAAACTGGAAGCTGAAGAATTGAACGCAGTACTCCAGATAGAGTCTCATGAGAGTAGAGTAGACAGGAAGAATCAACTCTTTCAATGTGCTGATCATGCTTCTTTTAATTCAGTCCAGGACATGGTTGGCTCTCTGACTTGCAAGTGCACATACATTTCCACATCATGAAAAGCTTTTCATCCATCAGGACCCTCAAATTCTTCTCAGGGTTGCTTTGAACAAGTTCTCTGCCCAGTCTGTATTTGGCTTGTGACTGCCCCAACCCAGGTGCAGGACCGGACTTATGGTTCTTGTTGACCTTGATGAGTTTCTCTTGGGACCACCTGCCAAGTCTGCCAGTGTCCCTTTGGATGGCATCCTTTACATACTGTATGGCAAATGAACCATGCAGCTTGATGTTTTCAACAAGTTTGCAGAATATGTACTCAATCCCACTACGCACATCACTGACAACAATAGTAAACTGTACCAGCCCCAATATAGACCCACCCAGGAAAACTGCTTGTCACCAATCTCCACTTGGTCTATCCATCAGAATCATCTATCTGTAATCTAGAGATAAGGATGTAGTGTTGGTTCAGTATCATGTGGTTTGCATAAGTCCAGGTAGACGGCAACAGTAACTCCTCTCTGCCGCAGAACACCAACACATTTTTCAGGCACTTCTTGACCTTAGTAAAGCCACGTTGACTGTCCCCAGTCATATCATTTTTTTTCTGTGTGCCTCAGCATAGCTTACAGTAGGATCTCTTGTTCCATGATCTTACCTGACATGGAGGTGAGAATAACTGCAATTCCTTGGGTTTTCTTTTTTCCCATTTTAAAAATGGAGGTTATGTTTCTCTTCTTCTTGTCACTGGGAACTTCACTGGACTGCCAAGAGCTTTCAAATACAATGGAGAGTGGTTTAGCATCTTCATCTGCCAGTTCCCTCACGATCACTAGATGCATGGATCTGTGCACCTTCAAGATCTTTATACATGGTCTTGAACCTCATCTCCTACAGTGGGCAGTTCTTCATTTTCCTGGTCCTCTGCCTTTGGATTCTGAGACTTCCTCTGGGAAAGATGTCTGGAGGTAGTTTTTCATGATTGATGATAAGATCTTCTAATATTAAAATGACGTCTAAGATGTGTATCTGGAACTACAGAATTCTCAGCACAAAACCACATTTCCCAAAGTTAGCGTACCTTTTTCACACATCACAAACTCAGTCACTAATCTCTGCAGCATGGCTTGCACTGTTTCTGTATAGCACTGTTTCCAACTGTTTCTTCGTTGTGGTACAGAGCGGAAATCAAGCCCATTCTCAAAGGGGGTTTTTTGCAGTCCATCAAGCAATTTTTTAACATTTGATATTTTGGAAACAGCACACAGCATCTAAGATTGCACAGTTCATGATCTCATACATCAGCTCAGAAACTTCATTGTTTCCTGTTTCCATGGAAGAACTCTCTAGGTTATTAAATTACAAGAATACATATAATGCATCACACAGACATTTTATGATGCTATGCTGGTAAAATATTTTAATGATTAGTAATTTTCTCCTTCTGTTATACACTATATATATATATATATGTGTATAGATACATATAAAACCAAGAAATCCAAGAAATTCTAAAACCAAAGCATTTTAAAAACAATAAACTGTGAAATCCACCACTGACTGATGTCTCTTGGCCTGCCTCTGGCTAACCTTGGCAATCTCCTTATCTTGAAATCATAGCCACACTTACCTGAGTATCTTTCCAACTCTCCAAAGAGCTTCCTTCAGTCTCACACAAACATATCAGCGCCCAAAGATACCTTCAGCATCAGTATTTCATTTTTCTTTTTGCCTCCCCATCCATAAATTGCTTTGGCACAAACTGTGCTCTTTAAGGTGAGGAAAAAAACACCTGTCTGTGGCTATGAAACGCTGACATGCAGAGGAAAAGTAGCAGTGTTGCGACAGGGTCTGGTGCACAAGTGTAGTGTGAAGCATGAGCAGTGTATATCATTCAAAGAGGAGTGACGGCTAAAAGAGAAAATGACACTTCCTCTGAAAAGCTTTGGGACCTGTAATCGAAGTTATCTACACAAGCATGCTTTAAAAAGTTACTTTTCTTCCTTTCTACTTGATTTGCAATCCATACTTCCTCTAAAACTGAGTTACCAAACTTATTTAGCTCATCTCTACTGATAGATGTCTAGGAAGCAGCACATGAATGACAGGTT